TGAAAACAACTAAACAAGTTTGAAGTATGAGGTGAATAAATAATAGATAGGGGTCACTTTATAATAGAACCAAAAAAGTGTTGACTTTTTGGTTAAGGAAGAAAAGTAAAGAAGCTAAATTCTCTGTGGTGTGATAGGGTACAGTGTAACAGTGCTCTATACATTTATTTTGTTTGCTTTTTTATTGTGTGTGTATGTGTCATAAAGCTGCGAGCCGTTGGATTTAATGACAAAGCTGTGACGCAGAATGAAGCGGCGTCTATTTCCTCTGCAGATCCAACGGCTACGATTCAATTCTCTATTTTTTGGTATAATAATAAAAAATTGAATTTTTGTATGAAATTATTAAATTAGATGTTACTTGTAACAGAGGGTGTCTCTGCATCTATCTTTAAAGTCAGTTGTCAGATTACCTTTCGAACTCTGCCCCTCAGGTGTAATCCAATTTTCAAACCCTCTGCTCGAATCCTAGCCGTCCATTCGTCATACCAAAAATAGATAAATCAAAGTACTCTTCGAAGCCCATTTAAATTCAAGAGCATTAAAAAAGTTTAGTATATTGGGCCTAATATAAATTTTTATTATTAGGCTACTTGTCTATGTAACCCATTCAAGTTCTTTGGAGTAACAACTAAAGGATCATCCTTTTATATTCATGAAAGTTTTGTGTAGACATATATGTTCGATGATTTTTCTTTTTTAATCAACGGTTTTTTCTTTATAACCGATGAACTATGTATCGAAAGCCAGTCTAAATTCTTAAATATGTTTAAAAAATCGGATATTCTTTCCAATTAAGATGTTTATGATAACTAACCAATTATTAGAAATCGCCTTAAAAAATCATACTCTCTCTTTAAAAAATAATATATAAAAAAAAAAAATCGTACTTTCTCAACTCCATGATAATCTTTCACCCATTTGACCATTTTCATTTTATTTGGTCGACGGATAAATTTCATATTTATTTGCGAAGTTTTGTATAGAACATAAATAATTAGTTAATGTCACATTATAGATGAACAAATACCATATCATATAAAATTAATAGAGATAAATATTTACATTCACACAACTAAGTATCTTTTTTTCTTTGCATGAAAAGATGCATACAATTAACACACTAGAAACTAAACTGATTTGTTGGGATTTACGTTCAAACTTCCAAAGATAGATAGGAAGGGTTATTCATTAGACTTCCAAGAAGCAACCAGCTTGAACATGACCAACTTGTGTTTCCATTTTTACCCATCCAAAGCTACTTAAATCACAGATATACCCTACGGTGGCTTCACCGTGACCACCCAAAGCATTGCCGTTACCGATCACAATCAACTTCCCGGGCCTCACCGCCACGTAAGCCACATTGTACACATCAGCAGGGATTTGTCCCACCTTTTGCCACGTGTCATCTTTCATCACCATCACATCGCCACGCCAGCACGCGTACAAATCATCACCATTTTCGCCCACGGCGCAGATCGGAGAGCTAACTGTATCACCGGAGTCGAGGAAATCCTCCGTCAGTGGACCCCACCGCCACGTGGAAACCTCGAACGATTCAGCGGTTTTACTAAACTGCCCTTGTTCCTCCGTGGCATATCCGCCGATGACATGGAATCTGCCAGCGTGGAATATCGCCTTGCACTCGTCTCGTTCCCGCGTCAAATCAGGCAAAAACGTCCACTTGTCTTCTGCCACGTCATACACCATCGCTGACGTAAGCGCTTGCTTCTCTTCGTCGTGTCCTCCTGCTACCCACACCGTCCGATCGGAATCAGAAGCGCATCCGAAGAAGGATCTTCGTACACCTGGCATGGTCGTCCCCACACGCCACGTGGAGGTGAGGAAACTGAAGACGAAGACCGATTCAGAGGCTTGCCATGTAACCGGGTCAAGCCCACCCAAGACAACAAGATCCGACCCGACAGAAACCAAACTGCAGAACAGAGGCAGTCCGTTTGATCGACTCGGAATCGGAGGAAGCTCCGTCCAAAGACCAGACCCGGACTCGAGAACAGCGACTCGGTATTCCGGCGTGGCGAAGTTCTTTCCGGATCCAGATTCTTTATCCGGGTCGACCCGGGCTTGTGACAGAACAAGAAGCTCTTGGCTATGTCCTGAAGATTTTCGCTGCTGGAAAAACTCGGAGAGAGAGACTTCACGGTTCCAGCTTTTGCAAACGGAGGCGATGATTGGGAATTGTTTGTAGGAAGCTCGTAAGAGACACTCACGAGCAACGTCGTTTGGAAGATTTGGGATAAGTTCCATAGCTAAAGTATCAAAGGTTGGATTTTTTTTTGTTTTGGTCGGGGAAAAAAAGAAAGTGAGAGAATTGTAACAGTTTCAGTGA